AAATTGCTATCGAATAAAATATATTTTTATTTTATTTTTATTATCTACTCACAAAAATTAATTATATAAATTTCTCAAGTTTTAATATTCTTTGAAGCTTCACAATTTGTCTACTTTAGTATTTAATGTTTCGAAACAGTCGACCCTTAATTCTATTTTATAAACAAAAAAAATATTAATATCAAAAAGTTAAACTTTTTTTTTACTGTAAACGATTTTAACATATAAACAATCCGAATATATATCCCCCATATCAAAAGGTATATATAATTTACCGTTTTACAGACTTACTCCCAAAACTAGTTTATTTACAATAAGACTGATCAAATAGCTGAATTGTTAATTCCAATTAAGAAAACACATCTACCCTACATAGCATTCCTGCTGGGGACAAAATTAGAATTATGAAAGTGCATTTGAAGAGCTAATTGTTAGTCTTCTCTATTGTATGCTATGTGTTCTATGACTATTCTTGGTTGGAATAGAAAGAATCAATACAGTTGAAGCGCCTACGTTAAGGTAGGCACTGTGACTCGTTCTATTTTAGGATGTACAGCAAACATGAATATTTCATAGAGAATAACATGATTTCAGTTCGTCTTTTCACCCCACTTCTGGCGCTGAAAATATAAATTCATTAAAAACATTCCATTTGGCCGTAAATGCATTACTATAATTACTGTCGAGCTACGCACATATACTCTGGGATACGCTTATCTGACTTCAAATATGTCACATATGATGACAAGGACTGCGTTTGATGTATATTTCGTGTACAAGAGTTGAGCGAATTCTCTGTTCTCTGGCATTTTTTGGTCTTGCACTGCGACATCAAACAGGCTTTGTTTTCCCAATTATGGCATACCTTGCGCTTCTTAATGTGTGGGTGTCACAGCTAGTTAATTGTATTTACGGCAATCCTGGCCCAAATGGGCTCACATGCAAAAGGGGTTTGATGGAAGTTGTGTTTAGGATATGAAACTGGAATTTCGCTCTAGCTGTTGATTGGAGGGTTGCTTATGGTGAGATATGTTTGACTTTATTACTTTTTAGAAGCTGTGTAATTCAATTTCGAAAGCTGTCGATATCTATCAAGAGTCTTCAAAAGGGATAACGCTTGCATTTATTTTGTAGCAAACGTTTGACTAGCCAAACAAATTAGAATATACTGATCAGGTCCATAGTCAGTCAAATTTCTCTAGTTTCTGATTAATATTTTTAGTACATTTCACTAAACTGAACTTACGTCTCGACTAAATCAATCGAAATACAATAACTACGCCGTACCTCCCCATACCCGTCCAAGTCAATTATTTTTGGGGTCATTCTCCGCGAGGGATGCGTTTTTGGTGTAGGGCTCAAATGATTTTGCTGTATGAATGTTTGCCTAAAACTTTAGAGCAAGGCACAGTATGCTCACTCTATGCGCTATATGTTGTTGTTACACGCCCGTAAGTCTGTAAACAAAGCAAGAAATGTATTTGAAAAAGGGTTGGGTTTTCGTATAAGGTTTATAGTTTGATGTGAATAAACGAGATTTTAATGTTCCATGGGGGAATTCCACTTATGACTGCAGAGAAAGTGAGACAAGCTGAAGAAGAAGAAGAGGACTGAGGGTAGTCATGGATTTCAAATACAAAGCAAATGCTGATTTGTTGATATTGATTAGTGCGAACTTGCCATAAGGGTAACAAACGAAATCTCGAAATCAAGAAGGAAACTTACGGTGTGGGTGTGTCTTGGGAGACGCAGCCACAACTTGATGAGTATTTAAAACTTTTCCATTGTCTGCCTGATGAATATTTAATTAAGCGTAGGAGAGCAACACGTTTGAGTCTCCAATAGCAGGAAGATAAAAGTTGGAACTCACACTTTAGAGCTACAGCGAAATCAACAACTGCATTTATTTCTGGTATATATGATATAACAACTTCTTCTTTGACTTATTGAATATAAGTTTCCTTATACATCTCAAAAGCTGATTCCACAATAAAGAAAAAAAAAAAAACAGAAATTGAAATGTATTTAATTATATTATTTCGATTTGAAAAAGTCTTGTATCTTCAATGTTTTGTAAAAGCAATTCATTTTTCTTTAGCTGTTTATTAAAAATCAATTACAAATTCTATAAATCGAATTGAACGACTACCAGATGCCCTAGACAGGCGGGTATTACTAAATCAACTCAGCTATTGTAGCTAACAAAATTTATGTACTCTATTTTTTCTTCTTCTGCTTTCTCTTCCGCTTCTTGCAGCAACACGTAATCGTTATACCCCTTCAAGGGGTCTTTGCGATATAAAAAGTAAGAGAAACAAAAAGAAGTAAAAGGGATACCTTGCCGCCAAATAGCCGAAAGCGTGTGAATGTTGCTGGCAGTCCATAGCCACAGCCGTACATACATATACATATACATACATATATACACTTTCACAATACTTTGTATATTAATTTGTTTTCTCTTTGTTTCGATTTTGTGGCGCTGAAAATTAATTAAAAATTACATGAATGAACGTTGAAGGATAATGAGCCCCTAAGCTGATTTTGCGCTGAAAATATTTAAAGAAAAAAAATTGTCGACTGCGCGCCACATGAAAACAAAAGGAGGTAAAAAACAATAATTACGCGAGAGTGATCGACTATCAAATACCCTAATCTGCGCTTTTTTGCGACTATGAAGCCTACCAGATTCAAACTTTGATACGTGGAACGGATAATATCTGGAAACTTCCTTATTAAGCGTCTTCCATACATTTTCACGAGCCCTATATACCCTTATCACTCATTATCAATGACGACAGGGTATAAAAAGTGCTTGCCGTGTATTCAGCTACGCAGGTATTCGCAAGCAAAAAATATAAAGTAAATGTATTCTATGTTAAAGTGCTTAACTTGTAGATACCCTATTCCCAGTATTCACCTTCACGGAATTATGTGGAATATGAATTTGAATAAGGACTATGCAAACCCATTCTTAGTTTAATGCATACATAGTTTTATATTTGAAAACTCATTGGTATATAACAAAATCTAAGGGTATTCCATAATCGACTACTCAACGACAAGTGCACTTTATTATTTTTATTTAATATCGACGAAGCACCAAACTGAAAAAGTGGAAAAAAGCTGGAATGGTAAATAGGGAAGGCGAAAATTGGAAAAATGTTCTCAAACGTAACAAAATATTTTTGTAAAATAATTAAGTTTTCTTTTTGTTTGCTGCAAATTATTACTGCGTGTGGGAAAAAGAAGGCATTGATGGAGAAAATAACCGGTTTTCGGTCAGTCCGTAAATGCCGCAGCGAGAAATGTAGAGTAATCAAATGTTATATTTAATATAAATAATCATGAATATTAATTAAATGTTTTAAATAAATCTTGACTACAGTCAAATTGAATGATTAATAACGATGAAACTACAGCAATGCTAAGGCCACAATAAAAATATTTTTAAAATAAAACTTCTTCACTCAACTTGGGTATTCTCTAAGAAAGAGGCAAACGCCTTTTCACTTGCTAAGTCCCGGCAAACTTTAATTGAAAATATCTTATTATATTCGTGTTATAGTCAGCAGAAAACGAATCCAAGTATGTAAGACAGGAAAGCTCGAAGAGAAAATACCCTAAGTTCCTTGTCCTTTGAAGCAAACACAATAATCTAATCTCAGGACTGAGCTATGCTTCTTTAGCTGTTACATTTGCACAAAAACAAGATACCCAATGTCCGTGGGCCTACGGTATCAAAAACCAGTGATACATATAGCTTGCAGAACTTTTTGACTACCAAGAATAATTTGTATCATATACAATCATGCTAGAGATGCGAGAGAACCGGACACGAAATTTAAGATATGCAATTAGTATATCAAATGTTTTGTCTACAAATGTATAAATATGATTTAAATCTTTTAAATAAATATAAATGATTGTCATTATAAATGTGGACAGTTAA